TGTCGCCATCTGCAGCCATAATAGCTGGGAAACAGCGGCCATTTCTCAATTCACAAGAACGCCAGTATGGAAGAAACATCGCCATCAGAGCCAGCGGCCCTTCACACACAGATAGGCAGAGAGAGAGGCGGCCGCCGCAGACGGGCCGACGTGAGGCCCCGGCCGCCGCCGCAGACGTGCATGCTGGGACAGCTGTCCATCTGAAGAAAGGACCAGTCTGCTCTGATGCATGCTGGGTAAAGAGGGAGGGGCCAGAGCAACATCCTGGGACTTTGTCCGTTCTTGGTCTGCTGTTCTTGTGAATTGGAACAGTACTGGGGCTGAGGATGATGGCGTTTCACGAGGACACGAGGACACAGACTGAGAAACGGTGAACATTTCAGAGCCATTAAAGCAGCTTTTAGGATGTGAGATGAACCTGTTCTGCTTCCAACAGCGTCGCCTCCAACAACAATTAGAACCAACCCGCTGAGTTCAGTGCAAACCTTCACCAAATAAACACACCTGACAGGTAATTTAATCATTTTACTTTGCTGGTTTTCTCATCATTGATTCATTTTTAAATGCGTTAAGACTTTAAAGATCAGATCAGCCTCAGCTAACCTGCATCAGTGGAGCGTTTCTGAGGCTGCTGAACGAACTCACTCACATTTTCCTTGGAGAAAACTCTGGTGAAGCAGAGGTAGCGCGTCACCTTGGATTTGAACAGGCCATCCTTCCACAGGTCTGCATCCAGGCCATCCGTGGTTGTAGATATCTAGAGGAAGGAGACAAACAGGAATATTGACACATGTGACCTGAGGACGCTCCAAACCTGCGGAGGTCTGAGGGCCAACATGGCTACTAGGTTGGAAGCAAACAGCTGATTTTCAGTTTGTTTGCATATTAGAAATGCCAGTAATTTACGGAGCGCCATCTCTCCTTCATGTTTACCACATCATATCCAGTGGGGGCCCTGTTCCTGGAAGCCACGACTCCAACGCCAGTGATGGGATCCATGGACATCTCCGGTAAAGCCTCTGAAAGGTCCCGCACCTCAGGCATGGCTGCAGAGCTCTGGAGGAAAACACGCAGCAGAGGAAAGGAAAACCTCTAAAGCGACAGATGGAAGATGTTCCTGCTCCATCGGTCAGACTCTAGCTGGTCAACATCCACAGCAAAATAAGGATTTTAAAGGAAATCATGGAGGGTCTGAAATGTTCATGGGAGGTGTATGTCCACTGTAAGAGACGTGAAAATAAAAATTCAGAAATCACAATCTATGATTCATTTAACTATTTATTTGTATGATTCAGCTGCAAGTATTTAAAAAATCAGTGTTAATATTTGGTCCTTTGTTTCCAGAGTGAAGCGCTTCCTGTAGTTTTTCACCAGGTTTACACTACAGCAGGGATTTTGGCCCACTCCTCCACACAGATCTTCTCTAGATCAGTCAGCTTTCTGGGCTGTCGATCCCTCCATAGATTCTCTATCGGGTTTAGGTCTGGAGACTGGCTAGGCCACACCAGAACATAGATCTGCTTCTTCCAGAGCCGCTCCTTGGCTATCCTGGCTTATTGTGATGCTGGAAGACCCAGCCTCCCCCCATCCGTTATGCTCTAACTGAGGGGAGGAGCTTGTTCTCCAGAATCTGGCAATAATGGCCGCGGTCCTCCTCTCCTTAACACAGTGCAGTCACCCTGTCCCATGTCCAGAAAACACCCCAAAGCATGATGCTACCACCTCCATGCTTCACAGTAGGGATGGTGTTCTTCTTTCAAACACGGTTAGTGGAATTATGACCAAAAAGTTCTATTTTGGTCTCATCTGATCACATGACTTCCTCCCATGATTCCTCTGGATCATCCAGATGCTCATTAACTGCAGACGGCCTGACATGAGCTGCTTTAAGCAGGGGAACCTTCCGTGCATGATGTCTTAGTGTGTTACCAACGGTAACCATGGAAACGGCGGTCCCAGCTCTTTCCAGGTCATTGACCAGCTCCTCCTGTGTAGTTCTGGACTGATCAGTGAGGCCCCACCAGGTGAGATCCAGCATGGAGCCCCAGTCTGAGGGAGACTGACTGTCATGTTGAGCTTCTTCCATTTTCTAATGAAGCTCCAACAGTGGAGCTTTTTTCACCTATAGTCCTCTCCAGCCTGGTGAAGGTGGACAGTTTTAGTCTCTAGTGTCTTTGGACAGCTATAGTGGCGGGCTAGCTGTAGCAGCTGGCTAGCTCAAGTGCTAAGTCACCCGTCCTGTAAACAGGAAGGGGTTCCTTAGGCAATACCCTTCACACATTGGGGAGTGGTGGTCCAGGGGTTACAGCATAGAGCTTGGAATCCTTCCAGCCCCACTCCCACAGACTGTCATTCTGGGTCCCTGAGTAAGACCCTATCCCCACACTGCTCCCTGGACGCCTCACAATGGTACCCGACTGCTCCCCGGTGGGATGGTTTTAATGCACTGTACTTGGGACAGTGTAATGACAATAAAACAAACAAAAAGACCTGTTAGGTCTTTGAGGATCAGAATTCTAGCTGATAGACAGCTGGATCATACAAATAAATAGTTTAACAAATCAGTTATTGTGATTTCTGAGTTTTCTTTTTAGATAATGTCTCTGACAGTGGACATGGACCTACGATGACAATATAGACCCTCCATGATTTCTAAGAGGGACAACTTGTAAAATAGCAGGGGGTTCAAATACTTATTTTATTATTTTACCGTCTAAAAGAGAAGAACTTTTAAAATGCTGCATAAAATATCAAAAATAACCACCAGTTGAATACAGGGCATGATTCTAATAATCACACTTTAATGTTTGACATCATCAAACTAGCTGGAATATGGAATAAAGAGAACAGAGCTTGGCTCAACTGTAACTCCACCTTTCTTATACGCCATCTAAAATACTCAGGTTATCCTGAGCTAGCTCTATAGATCTGCTGCTATAGGCTTAGACTGCTGGAGGACATAGGGACCATTTTTCATCATTCTGCTTCATTCTATCTCAAAAGTCGTCTCTACAAGCTCCTCCAGGATTGCAGGATGCGATCAGAATCTGACTGCTGTGTCTCTGAGAAGCTCCTGAGATGATGTGATGTGAATTAGAACAATAGAAAAGAACTATAGAACTATAGAACTATAGAACTATAGAACTATAGAACTATAGAAATAAACTATAGAACTATAGAAATAAACTATAGAACTATAGAAAAAACTATAGAAATAAACTATAGAACTATAGAAATAAACTATAGAACTATAGAAATAAACTATAGAAATAAACTATAGAACTATAGAAATAAACTATAGAACTATAGAAATAAACTATAGAAATAAACTATAGAACTATAGAAATAAACTATAGAACTATAGAAATAAACTATAGAAATAAACTATA